CTCCAGAACACGGCCACATAGCCCGGAAGACCCACATCAGCCATCGTATTCCGGCCATGAAAGCCTTCGACAATACAAAATGTATAAGTAATTGTGTGTTTGGGATTTCATTCTACAAGTGAAAGCCATTGTAATCATCAGCTGGAACTGATACAGATCCAAGGAAACTCTTTATGGGAAAGAGAGCTTGTCATCTGAAATTATTCAAAATAATTTCTAACAACCAATTATAAAATACATATCTTAAACATACTATTAACTGGGCCTAACATAAAATTCTGTGGTGTTTTCAATTGCTCATTTATTTTCTTCTCTGGCAAAGGATACCAAATAAATGTTGAGCCTGGACGTTCCAGGCAAGCAGACTGCAGTATTTGTCTTTGGCTGAGTAATGAATTTGCGGAGTAACAATATGGAGTGAATCACCTGTTCTAAGTCCTCTTCTACTTAGAAATTGCTCAGCTGCACACAGTTAATTAATATGTTGTCCATTGCATTAGACTCAGTGGCCTATTGCTTGGTTCCTAAATGGTGAATTTTGTTCTGGTCTCCACAGTTGTTAAGTTACAATTTTTTCCTGTGGCCAGAGTAGAATTATGCTCCTAAAGTGAATTTCTGCATCTTGTTTCTCAGATCAGTTTTTCTAAACTATTTTGTGCCTGAAGTCTAATACATCTTCTTTCTGTATAATACACTTACCAAGGAGAAAATACAGTACAAAAAGGAAAGTGTTCTTGACTGAGTATTTGAATTAATCTTATTCTCAGTTGTGATAGCTTCAAAGATAGACAGCAACTTTGCTTGTGAGATTTAAAAAACAAAAAGAGCAAATGCTTTGCTAGAGCAGAGAATGATGAAGCCAATTTCTCCAGTATCTAAACAAGAAAATATGGGGAAAGCACCTTTAAAAAATTGCATATAGAATTTGGAGAATTCCCAGGGAAATCTGGGAAGCTATTCAATTATACAACCCTATATAGGAAGTTATTCAGTACTTTATATAGGGACAAATTTCTGAACTCTGTTTGAAAAACATCATTATTTTTCCTATTAGGAATTGTAAACGGCTCTTTCATTTACAAATAGATTCATTTGTATTCTGCAAAATGTATTAATGTTTGTTTTAATTCTTGTTTTCAAAGAACAACCACATTAATTAGAATGGTGATATTGAATGAATAACAATTATAGTGCCACCCTGAAATGCTGGAGCTGGACCACTGCCAACATTGAATAGATATCTTGGTAAACCACAAACTATATGAGGGACTCAATCTCCTACCTGTAAAATGGGAACAATGAATCATATATATCTCAGGGTTGTTGAAAAGGGAGCTAAAATGAAGTTTGCAAAGAACGTTTCTTAATCATATATATCTCAGGGTTGTTGAAAAGGGAGCTAAAATGAAGTTTGCAAAGAACGTTTCTTAATCATATATATCTCAGGGTTGTTGAAAAGGGAGCTAAAATGAAGTTTGCAAAGAACGTTTCTTAATCATATATATCTCAGGGTTGTTGAAAAGGGAGCTAAAATGAAGTTTGCAAAGAACGTTTCTTATTTAAAAGTTATATTTCAATGAATAATTATAACTTTTTCATTATAATTATTTATCCATAACATTTTTTGTAGTGTAGTGTGATTTCATTTTTGTATTAACTTGGTTTTCTTTAGTGAGTTGGAAGATAAAAGCTGTATGGAAACATATGATCTGCCTGTGGGAAAACCTAACTGATAAAATCTGAGGAGCAGTGAGAAGTGTATTTTGGCAGAATAGAGTATCTGCTCCCAGTCACATGCCTGATGTCTATATAATAACTATATAATTCAAGTAGGAACATTCAGTGTTATATCATTTATCCATTTAGGAGAGTATTCATGCCAGAAAATTAAGGGTCACGGGGAAGAGTTATATTCAATGTATTAGAGGCTATGAACTCCAGTTTAAATTATGTTTCAGAAACATCTCCCCTTCTCTATGTTTCTGATAGGGAGTTTTAGCTTCAAAAGCGCCAGGGATTCAAGAAAGTTTGTTCTAGAAAATGTAATCAAATAAAAGCAATATTTTAAAGCCATGTGTAATGAATTTGTAATAAACTTCATCCCAGTATTCTTCAAAATTATTCATTCTATGAAAGGTAGAACTTGAAAAGCAACCCATGAACACGGCATCCTTCTCACAAAATGCCAATATATGGCGCCAGTAACTAGAATATTGGTACGAATATGGAAAATTTGTCTTCAGATTCCAACTCAGTGGGTTGTCCTGACCAAATCATGTTTTTCATTCTAAAGCTAATTTTTCACAACAATGTCTATAATGTTCTTTGAAGAAATAACAACAACAATAATACCACCTAACCTTTCTGCTCTGACAAATACTAACATTATGCAACTATGGAGAGCCTTGTTAGTGTTGAATCTTACAGATTTTCTAAACTTGGAGAGAATGGAGTCA